ACGAGATTGTGGCGTAGTGTGGGAACACACATGCCGGTGACACTGCCCCAAGGAAAAGCTGGGCACGGAACTGTGGAGGAGCCCTTGGCGTGTGTTGTGAAACTGGAGTCTGCTCCTAGTCGACGAATTGGTGTCTCGTATGGCTTGAAGAAGTGTTCTTCCTTGAGAACCGTGTGAGTGGCCCACTGTCGAGGGTGAACTCTATTGTGGCTGAGGTGCTTTGTGAGCTGGGATACTGCGAAATTGTCTCATTATTCATGGCAATGCCAGGGAACAACATGATGAGGCGCACATCAGCAGGGGGGCTACAGCAGCCTGCACAGATTCCTGCGCTTCGACTTGATTGACCTTGCGAGGAGCACGATTGACCATCCAGCTTGGCGGCTTCGAGGCGGTCCCATTGACGGCATACCACTCGTCATCCTTTGATCCTGAAGTAGGAGGCAAGGGTGTGGTTGGTGCCGCCACACACCTAGCCGGCACGAGGGCCGCGCTTGATGACGTAGGGACACAGGGGGAAGCGGTTGCGCTGGAATGGCGACGAAGTGGCATAGGCTTGAGGCACGGGAGCGCAGATTGCATTGGCCTTGGCTTGAGCGGTGTTGTCCTTTTCGGCAGAAAGGAGCGCAGATGAGACCTTGGCAAATGTGAGGTCCGCAGGAGCAAGGCCGAAGAGCATCTTGCATGTGACTTCGTATGCCGGAGTGAGGCCGACTAGGAGAGCGGCTGCAGGGGCTTGCTCGGGGAAGACTATCCCCAACTGCTTGAGTTCACCATGAATGGACTGCACCTTGGTGACATAGTCCGCCATGCCTGGCGAGTCCTCGAGCCGCACTTGGAACATGCTGGGGATGAGTATAGCAACTCCCACTGCAGTCTTATTCAGGAAGCGGTCTTCGAGGTTTAGCCAAATGGCGTTGGCAGACGGGTAGTTGTGGTTGGTTTTGACGATTTCGGGAGGAGTGGTGCCCATGAAGACACTAATGACCGCACCATCGGCCTTCTCCCAATTTTTGTACTTGAGCAATGCAGCAGCATAAACTGCTTCGGCGGCGGCATTTGCTGGATCGGCTCTTTGCCGTCACCAATGTTGAGAAGAACGGCGGTGAGCCGAGCCCCTTCACCTCGCAACTGAGGAGGTGGTTGTCAATACCATAGCGCCAAGCCTTGTAGTTGGAGCATGTACCGTCCGGCTCGAGACGAAGGAGCGGGATCGGGTTGGCGAGTGAAGTAGTTGAGTAAGCCATTGCCGCTTGATTTTCACAAAGCGACGCTCTTAAGTCACCGATAGAAACTTCGGTGCACAGCGCGGCACTTATGGAAATCGGTCGACGAGAATTGCTGAAAATCACTCAGACGGCTTTGCCGAAATGCCGCTACGAAGGAAATGGCGTCAGCGGGATTTTGTTTAAACACCGACTTGAAACTAAATCTGAGCCTAAGTCTAACCCCGTACCCACACGCCCCCAGGCCCTGTCCCGCAGCTACACAGCTCCGCAACCAGCTCCGCAACCAGCTCCGCTCCGCTTCCACCAGTGTAACTGCTCTTGCTTGACGTGAGACGTTCGTGGAGGCGATTTAGCGAGGGGAGTTCGCCTATGCTGGCGGGGTCCGAGAGGAAACTCGAAAACGAGTTTTTAGAGATGGTCTAAATTGAGATTCGACCAAAGAGAAGCGAGGAGGAAATCAACGATGAGAAGCGTGAAAGCTTCAGAGATGAGAAATTCAAAGAGGTCGAGCGCGAAGGCGGTCGACGATGAGAGGCGTGACTGCAGAGTGGAGCACGTCGAATAGTCTGACGACTCGATATGAATGTAGCGACAAGGAGGTGCGCGTAGCGCGGGCACGTTAAGATTAGGACCTTGATCTACGTGTGCAGATAGGTCGCTATGATACCATGTAAGAAATAGAGTTGAAATGATTGATGAGGTAAGGAGCCCAAGGATTTATAAGTACATGGCAAGGTAAGGGAGAATGGATGAAGAGGGAATCGGAGGGAATCCCCATTGGGATCTTCGGAATCTCCAATTGGGTAATTGGAGATTGGGGGGATCACAATTGGGTGAGGTTGGGATTTTGTGAGTACACCCCGACCCACCAGAACATTCCTAACCTAAACTAGGATATAAAAGTACAAATACAAAAGTAGGATTTGCAATCTATTTCTAACACTAGCACCCATGGATCTTCTCAATAATTCCGCTAACCCCGCAACACAACTCGTGAATTTATACCTGGCAGCTATTACTGTGCAATCGTCGGTGCAAAGGACGACCACAACCGATGCAAAGCTGAATCTACGCCACGGGGTTGTCTGCAATGAGGTGTAATGTCAAGTTTAAAATCTCTTCTAAGACCATCCAGACACAAAATGGCAACATTTGTTGCCTGCATTGAAAACTAGAACTCCAAACGGCTTCTTATCAGATGATGAGAGCCTCCACAATTGTACGAAGCATTTCCGCTGCCTGATTTACATTCTGGAAAAAAAAATTAAACAAAATGAACTAACAAGTTCAAGTTCCAATTTCTATGCACTCGATTTCTAACGTGCATGCCAACGTTTTCACCTCAGGTGCTCACCCTAAATGTGTCAATCAGCACCACTGCATAATACAAAGGGACAAGGAGGAGATACGGTAAGGGGATTGAAAGAGAAATGGGGTAAGGAAAAGAATACCAAGGAGTGTAACTGAGTGCACAGCAGTGACATGCTCCACTAATGCCTGCAGAGCAGGAAAATAGAGTAGGAGCACGTGGGGAAATTGAATGGATGCTGGAAGGCAAAAGGGAAGAGTGCTTGGAAGGGAAGCTAACGCTAGCCAGAAGTACTACATGGGATGGAAGGGAGGAAGTGAATAAGAGAAGGGGAGGGAGAAAAAGGCGGGTAAGGAGAAAATTATAGACTGAAATTGTGGGGACGCTGGCGATGACCTACGTGGTACCTAGGAATGAATGAAGGTATGGTAAGAGGAGCAGGAGGGGTTAAAAGGAAGGGGACACGCAAAAAAAGAATGTGTGGCATGAGCAAAATGCCACAGCAGATGGCGCCAGTGCGCACGTCACCAGCACGGACCGGGCCAGCGCGGACAGCGCCAGCTCGCACGGCATGGCATGCTATGCCCATACACGCATACAGCCTGGCATGCCATGTCCATGCACGCATACAGCCTGGCATGCTATGCCTATGCACGCATACAGCCTGGCCTGCTATGCCCATACACACACACAGCCAGACATGCTATGCCCATTCACACATACAGCCTGGCATGCTATGCCCATACATGCATACAGCTAGGCACGTTATGCACATACACCCATACAACTAGGCATGCTATGCCCATACACACATACATCCAGGCATGCTATGCCCATACATGCATACAACCATGCATGCTGTGCCCATACATGCATACAACTAGGTATGCTATGCCCATACACAAATACAGCTAGGCATGCTATGCCCATACACACATACAGCTAGGCATGCCATCCCCATACACATATACAGCCAGGCATACCATGCCCATACACACACACAGCCAGGCATGCTATGCCCATATACACATACAGTCAGGCATGCCATGCCCATACACACACAGAGCCAGGCATGCTATGCCCATACACACATACAGCCTGGCATGCTATGCCCATACATGCATACAGCCAGGCACGTTATGCACATACATGCATACAACTAGGCATGCTATGCCCATACACACATACAGCCAAGCATGCTATGCCCATACATGCATACAGCCATGCATGCTATGCCCATACATGCATAGCATACAACTAGGTATGCTATGCCCATACACACACACAGCCAGGCATGCTATGCTCATACACACATACAGCTAGGCATGCCATCCCCATACACACATACAGCCAGGCATACCATGCCCATACACACACACAGCCAGGCATGCTATGACCATATACACATACATTCAGGCATGCCATGCCCATACACACACACAACTAGGCATGCTATGCCCATACACACATACAGCCTGGCATGCAATGCCCATACATGCATACAGCCAGGCACGTTATGCACATACACGCATACAACTAGGCATGCTATGCCCATACACACATACAGCCAGGCATTCTATGCCCATACATGCATACAGCCACGCATGCTATGCCCATACATGCATACAACTGTTAGGATTAAGGACGGAGTCTAGGTGAACTTAGGAGCTAGAATTACTCAAAATATAAATCCGAAATTCTGGACAGAAAAGTCGTCTTCACAAGAAACGACGTCGACAAACAACTAGCCGTTGGAATGTCGCGAAACTTGGATATGTTGTAGCTCTTAATCTCAGCTACCGTTCCCAATTTGAATCATGTTGATTGATAAAGTATTCGCGACGCTATGGCTTTCGACGCACTAGGGGGTAAGCTGTAGGAGGAGAACTTAACTCAATCTCAAAGGTTCAATCAAAGTTCAAGAATCTCACAAGGAATTAGAGGAGCAAGAGAAAGGTTGGGATAGGAAGAGAGGGATGAGAGGGAAGGTCCCAAGAGAGTCCCCAACCAAGGAAAACCCCATAAGCACAAAGATTCCCTCCCTATAGGAACCCCAACTTTGACATTTGTCCCTTCCCAACCAATCCATCCAAGTTGGCCACCCTTGCCAACCTAGCTTGGTTGTTCCCAACCAATTTGCAGCTGTTACAGTGAGTGACAAATTTCCCAAACCCCCAAAGGTCCCAACTCCATATAGAGTCACCCCACAACTTCACTTTGTAACCGCCGCAATTGTAACGCAAGCTCATGAACTTTGAATCTTCATAGCTTTCGCGTTCTTGCTCCGATTGAAGGGATTCTCGTTGCGTCGGAAAGATCTTCTCAAGATCTATCATCACAAAAAACCTGCTCAAACAAAATAACACAAAACACATTCCCAAACTCCAGAACACATCACACACAAATTCTTGCACACGTTCAAACCACACATGCAAGTTGAAAAAAATATGGGATGGGAGGCAGACAGAATGTGATAGCATATGATGACATCACACAACAATCTCCCCCTCTGGCTGCCAACCATCATCCACCATACCAACATCTCAAGCATGCATACTCAATGCACACTCATCCCAGCAAGCTTCATGCCCTTCCAATGATCCGCCTCCGCCAGACGCTTGGTGAAAATATCTGCTGCCTGCTGATGGGTCTTCACTATCTCCAGCCGCACCTCCTTATCAAGGAGTCTCCTCACCCAATGCCACTTAGGCCTTATGTGTTTTGTCAGCCCATGCAGACAAGCATTCTTGGCGAGCTTCACAGCGGACTCATTGTCACAAAACACAACTGTCGGCTTCTCCTGACCAACTCCCAACTCCTCCAACAAACGCCTTAGCCACACTACTTCCTTGGCCCCATGGTGTAAGGCCATGTACTCAGTCTCACATGAGGACAATCCCACCTCATTCTGCTTCTTGCTGCGCCAGCTCACAGCACCACCTCCTAGCAAGCACACATAACCCCCAATGCTGGTGCCATCCGCTTTCACTGAGTTGAAGCTAGCGTCAGTATAGCAACTCAAGAGCATCTCTCCACTCTTCACATCTGCAGCACCTCTCTGCAACCGCTGCCTCACTCCACTGTACTCCAATCCCACTGATGCCGTAGCGCTCACATAGCGGACCAACCTCTTGGCCGCTTCCAGCTGCTCATGACTAGGGCGTGAGACCACACTAGCCAATCGTGATGTAGCAAATGCAATGTCAGGCCGTGTATGATTTGCAGCATAATTCAGCGACCCAACCATCGAATGAAACAGCTTCCTGTCACTATCACCCACTACCTCCTCATCAGCACATGGCTCCACAGTAAACCCTGAAGGTAGTGGTGTTGCTGGCTTTCCCCCATCTTGCAGCCCATACTTCTCAGCCAGCCCCTCACAGTACTTCCTCTGGTGCAACCTCAGCACACCCTTTTCCACATCTCTCTCCACGTGCATCCCCAAGTAGTACTTCACCTCACCCATCTTGGAGCACTTGAACTGCATCTCCAGCATCTGCTCTGCGCTGTCCAGCAAAGCAGTTGATGCAGAAAAGAGAAGGATATCATCCACATACACCAAGAGCATGAGGATTTCATCCTTCTCCTGCAGCAGGAACAGGCTGGGGTCACACTCACTCTTCTTGAAACCCCCAGCCAACAGCGCCTCCTCCAACTTGTGATACCATGCACGAGGCGCCTGCTTAAGGCCATAGATGGCCTTCTTCAGCCTGCAGACCCTGCCGCTCCCGTCATCCAGCCCCTCTGGCTGCTTCATGTACACCTCCTCCATAATGATCCCATTCAGAAAAGCAGTCACAATGTCCATCTGCCGTATCTTCCATCCCAGGAGTGCAGCTATCGCTAACAGCACCCTCAGTGTTGTTCCTTTCCCCACAGGAGCAAACACCTCATCATAGTCCTTCCCTTTTGTCTGCTGAAACCCCCTTGCCACAAGCCTGGACTTGTAGCGGGTCAGCTCCCCTTCAGGTCCATACTTGTGCCTGTAGATCATCTTGGAAGTGATTGCCTTCTTTCCAGGAGGCAAGTCACACAGGTCCCATGTCTCGTTCTCAATTAGGGACCCGAACTCCTCATCCTCACTCGCCTTCCACTTCTCCCCATTTGGTCCATTCAAAGCCTCCTCTCGAGTCTTGGGCTCAGGGATTGGTGCCCAGTAGCAGTGAGCGATCTCATCTTCCTCAATCTGCTCAACCACACTCCCAGCCTGCACCACATTTGGCTTGCCTCTTCCCCCATAGGTCAGCCTCACTGGAGGGCGCACATCCCTCCTAGGACGCTCAGGCGGGTGTGGAACTCGAGGTGGAGACTCATGCTGCTGCTGCTGCTGCTCTACTTCAGCTGCTCCCCCTTCCTCAGTCACCCCAGACATCTCCTCCTCTGACACTGCAACCTCCACCTGTCTTGAAGGGTGCTGCACCTCATCTGCCTCCACAATGAGCGGTGTAGATGGAAGCTTCTGTTGCTGCTGCTTCCATTCCTTGTAGTACAGGGACTCAAGAAACTTCACATCCCTTGACACTGTCAACTTCTGGGTGGTCAAGTCCCATAGCAGCCACCCCTTGTGATCCGTTGCAATCCCCAAGTGCACACCCCATCTTCCAGAAGCCTCCAACTTCCCCCTTTTCTCCTTGGGCACATGAAACACCACCATGCACCCAAATGCCCTCAGCATGTTCACCGCTGGAGCACTCCCATACCACTTGGCATATGGGATCCACTCCTTATCTCCAACTGTAGCCAGCACCCTATTCTTCACAAGGGCGACCTGCCTCAGTGCAGACACCCAAAACGGATCAGGCAGCCCTGCACGCCCAAGGAGAGTGCGTGCCCCCTCCTGCAGGGTCCTGTTGAACCTCTCAGCCACGCCATTCTGCTGCGGGTTGTAGGGCACTGTCAGTTGATGCTGGATCCCCTTCCTCTTCAACTCCCCCTCAAAATCAGCTCCAATGAACTCCCCACCATTGTCACTGCGGATCACCTTCACCTTGTGTCCGCATTCCCTCTGAGCTCTAGGCATCCACTCCTTAAGGACAGCCGCTGCCACCTCCCCCTTGCTCTTCAAAGGGTAAACCCACACTGCCCGAGTGTGGTCATCCACAATTGTCAAGAAATAGCGGCTGCCTGAGAGGGAAGGGGCTCTTGTGGGCCCCACCACATCCATGTGCACAAGTGCAAGTGGGGTCTTGGCTGGTCCTGTAGTGCTGTTGAAGGGGAACTTGGAGAACTTGGTCTCCAAGCATGTAGGGCAGCTCCCAATCTCCTTCAATCCCCCCTTTACCTCCAATCCTTTCAGGCTCCCATCCTTCACCAACTTCTGCAGCATAGGGAAGTTCACATGACGCAGCCTCTCATGCCATGTCTCCCAATCGGCCTCTCCACTCCTTGATGAAGCCTTAGCCCATGCCGCACTCGCATCCACACCAGCAAGCACCTCACCATGTGTCTGCTGCTGCTGCACTTTCTTGACTGCTTCCAGGACCCCATCAGTTGGTGCAGTTGCATCTCCTCCTGCTGTTGCCTTTGCCGCTGCTGTCGTTGCTGCTGTTGGAGTCTTCCCATTCCATGGGATGATGGGCAGCTGCCACAGGTCCTTGATGCAGCTGGTCTCCTCTTCCAGACTCCACAGCACCTTCTTCCCAAGCTTTGCACGGCAGCTGGTTGGTCCAAAGGTCACTTCGGCCTTACTCTTCTGCAGTCGCCGCACAGAGAGAAGGTTAGCAGACAAGCCTTTAACCAGCAGAACATTCCCAAGCCCCACAAGCTCCCCATTAGCTCCCTTAACCTTGGCATTCCCAACACCAATGACAGGGAGCAAAGCACCTGATGCTGCTGCCACATACTTGATCTTCCCAGGGGGTTTTACCTCATCAAGCAAATCTGCCCGTGGAGTCATGTGACTGGTGCAACCCGAATCAATCACCCAGTGCGTGAGAGGGTGCATCACAACCTTTCCCACAGATCCCACATCACCCTCATGCCCATGCACATCCTCAACCATAACAAACAAACCAGGATAGGCATTACCTTGTGCACCTTCACCTTGTGCACCTGAGCCTTGCACAGCGCCACCTTGTGCGCGTTCACCACTGGGCGGCTTCATGCCTGGAGGTGCCCATCCCTCCAGCCTGCTGAAGCACTTGAACCAAGGATGCCCAACCTTCTTGCAGTACCAGCACGTGCCCTCCATTCTGGTACTCCCCCTGCCACTAGAGCTCCCATGCCCCTCATTATAGTCACCTCGGCCTCTACCTCTGCCAAAGCTCCTCCCACGGCCTCGGCCTTTCCAACCCCCTCTTCCTCTGCTGCGCCCTGCAGCTCCATACCCCTCAGCAGTCTTAGTGGCAGCACCGCCTCCCACATGGCGTCTGCGGAAGTCCTCCTGCAGAATCTGCTGCCTTAGCCACTCAGGTGTCCATTGATCTTGCTGAGAGTTGAGGGTGGGGATGAGGTTGTCCCAAGAGTTGTCCAACACCGAGATGATCTTGGTGCACTGCTGCAGCTGAGATACACTGCTGCCCGCTGCTGCCATCCTTGCATAGGTGTCCTTGATCTTGTCAAGGACCGGCTTCACATCGTCCCCTGGTCGCATGGAGATGGCAGCAAGTTCCTTCTCGAGCACGATCACCATCGGGAGAGTGTTGGGCTGAACCACATCACGTAGTAGTTTCCACGCCCTTGGACCCGAATCATCCGCTTCCACAAGATCCTTGATGTGCTCGAACATCTCCTTGTTGACCGATTGAAGAATGAGGTCGAAAAGCACCGCGCTTTTCTCAATCCACCGTTCACGTGCTTCGCCTTCTTCCGGCATCTTCTCTTCCCCAACAGCAATCTTCAGGAGCTTGTAGCGTTTGAAGGCACTCCTCATCCGTCCGCTCCATTCCTCATAGTTGGAGCCATCCAAAGCTTCAACTTTTGATGGCGGCGGCTCACTTGTCTTCTCAGCTACAGCTCCTCTTCCATTAGCATCTCCTCCTCTCTCATTCATCTTCTCCTTGAGAAATGACGAATTTCAGCTCCCCTTTGCTGTCCACACTCAGCTCCCTCGATATTTTCACAAGTGTCGGCGTCCACGAAATTTCGGCAGAGTTTCCCTTAGCGGAAGACACATCCAACCTTTAGAACACCACTTAGGCACACCCACAGGCCATGGTGGGTCTAGAAGGGTCTTCACACTTCTGTAGACTCCTCTCAACGTCCTTAATACAGCTCTGATACCACTTGTTAGGATTAAGGACGGAGTCTAGGTGAACTTAGGAGCTAGAATTACTCAAAATATAAATCCGAAATTCTGGACAGAAAAGTCGTCTTCACAAGAAACGACGTCGACAAACAACTAGCCGTTGGAATGTCGCGAAACTTGGATATGTTGTAGCTCTTAATCTCAGCTACCGTTCCCAATTTGAATCATGTTGATTGATAAAGTATTCGCGACGCTATGGCTTTCGACGCACTAGGGGGTAAGCTGTAGGAGGAGAACTTAACTCAATCTCAAAGGTTCAATCAAAGTTCAAGAATCTCACAAGGAATTAGAGGAGCAAGAGAAAGGTTGGGATAGGAAGAGAGGGATGAGAGGGAAGGTCCCAAGAGAGTCCCCAACCAAGGAAAACCCCATAAGCACAAAGATTCCCTCCCTATAGGAACCCCAACTTTGACATTTGTCCCTTCCCAACCAATCCATCCAAGTTGGCCACCCTTGCCAACCTAGCTTGGTTGTTCCCAACCAATTTGCAGCTGTTACAGTGAGTGACAAATTTCCCAAACCCCCAAAGGTCCCAACTCCATATAGAGTCACCCCACAACTTCACTTTGTAACCGCCGCAATTGTAACGCAAGCTCATGAACTTTGAATCTTCATAGCTTTCGCGTTCTTGCTCCGATTGAAGGGATTCTCGTTGCGTCGGAAAGATCTTCTCAAGATCTATCATCACAAAAAACCTGCTCAAACAAAATAACACAAAACACATTCCCAAACTCCAGAACACATCACACACAAATTCTTGCACACGTTCAAACCACACATGCAAGTTGAAAAAAATATGGGATGGGAGGCAGACAGAATGTGATAGCATATGATGACATCACACAACAACAACTAGGTATGCTATGCCCGTACACACACAAAGCCAGGCATACTATGCCCATGCACACATACAGCTAGGCATGCCATCCCCATACACACATACAGCCAGGCATGCTATGCCCATACACACATACAGCTAGGCATGCTATCCCCATACACACATACAGCCTGGCATACCATGCCCATATACACACACACAGCCAGGCATGCTATGCCCATACACACATACAGTCAGGCATGCCATGCCCATACACACACACAGCCAGGCATGCCATGCCCATACACACGCACCAGTCAATGTTGATAAGGTTGCGGCACATCACGTTGCCCACTACTGCTGGGTTGAACGCATTCACCTGAGGGGGTGAGGAGAGACACGGTAGGGACAGGCAGGGTAAGGAAAGGAGGAGGGTGTGGGGCAGAGAAAAGGCAAGGCACAGAGTGTCGCACCGAATCACACTGCTGGCTGCTGCGAGGTTGAAAGCATTGACGTGAGAGGGTGAGGTGAGACGCGGTAGGGGCAGGATCGGGGAAGGAGGGAGGCGTGGGGCGGAGAGAGGAGATGGGAGAGAGGAGAGAGGAGAGAGGAGAGAGGAGAGAGGAGATAGGAGAGAGGAGATAGGAGAGAGGAGATAGGAGAGAGGAGATAGGAGATAGGAGAGAGGAGATAGGAGAGGAGAGAGGAGATAGGAGAGAGGAGAGAGGAGAGAGGAGAGAGGAGAGAGGAGATAGGATAGAGGAGATAGGAGAGAGGAGAGAGGAGAGAGCGCACGGCACCAGCGCGCATGGCGCCGGCGAGCACGGCGGCAGCCCCGGCGCGCACGGTGGCAGCACGCACGGCGCCAGCGTGCACGGCACCAGCGCACATGGCGCCAGCGCGCACGGCGCCAGCGCGCACCGGCCCAGCGCGCACGGTGCCAGCGTGCACCAGCCCAGCGCACACGGCGCCAGCGCGCACCGGCCCAGCGCGCATGGCGCCAGCGCCATGCACCACTGCGCACGTCGGCCGTGCGCACGGTGCCACCGCGCACCGCGCTAGCGCGCACGGCAGCGCGCACCGGGCCAGCACGCACGGCGCCAGAGCGCACCGAACCATCGAGGATGGTGCCACCGCGGACAGCGCCAGCGCGCGCGGCGTCACCGCAGACGGCGCCAGCGCGCGCGGCGTCAGCGCGGACGGTGCCAGCGCGCGCGGCACAAGGCGCACAGTGCCAGTGTGCAAGGCGCCCAAGCGTACTGTGCCTCTAGCACGCCAGCACGTCGCAGCGCCATAACGTGGCAGAGAGCGTGGGAGGGATGGGATGACAACTAGCAACCAGCAATACCTTTGTCCGCGTGCAGAGGTGGGTGCTAAACCACGATAACGGATCCTTGAGAGAAGGCGGGAAACTGAGCAAGGAAGTTGGAAACAGCACTAGGAGGATGAAAGAGCTACGAAATATAACGTATCTCTATGAGTGCTAGAGGAGCCAGCGAGAAGGGAACTGTGGTAGGGAAGAATCTTGAAATGGTAGGGAAAGTTGACTACAGTGAACGTTCTCTGCCTTCGCTTGACGCTGTGCAAATAAACAGCCAAGGTCTAGCAAATTTCGACTACAGGAAACGTTCTTTGCCTGTGGTTCCGGCAAACAGCACAGTCAAACTGCAACTTGACAGTCAAGATCGAAACAAACTAATAAGGGAGAGAAAAAAAACTGTCCAAGTTTGCTTAGGAATTCAGCCAACGACTCTAGAGTCCGCCTTCAGCCGATACTGTACTCATGCAACTAAAAACTCAAGGTTCCAATCATTTTCGAAAAGAGAGAGAGTCACACTGCAACTTGACAGTCAACGTCAAAACGAACCAATCATCTTAACGGTGTGCCATGCCATCATCCCACGTGAAACACTGCAACTAAAAAGTCAAGCTTGAATAAAAAACCACAACAGTAAAAATATTTTGCCTGTCGTCGCAGCAAAAATGCAGAAGTTCTAATTATCAAACCTAGAATTGAATAATGTGAGAGAGAGAGTACACAAAAATATACCTAAATGTTGTACTCTCTAGAAGCTGACCCTATACAGTCTATACGAACATGATAACTACACATGTTTGACACACCCCCTGGACTGCATAGGGGAATGTTCTAGACAAGCAGCTCAGGGTGGCACTACTAGTCCAGCCTCTGAGACAAGGGTCTAAAAGACCAGTCAGAAGGAGTACAGACAAGGCAAGAACGAGTACAGGGCGGCACTACTAGTCCAACCACTGTGAGAGGACACAAGTCCAGTCTGAGTGTATACATATATATATATACGACAGTACAAAGTCAAGGCCCGAGTAAGTGAGAGACTACAGGAACCAGACCAAGCTGTAAACAGTGCCGCTGATGATCTTTAGGCGCAAGCGCCTTCGTAAAGATATCAGCTGTGTTGGCACCGGAGGCCAAGTGTACTACGCGAGCCTGGCGTCGCTGCTGTAGCTCGCGCAGGAGGAAGTACCGCAGCTGGATATGCTTCGCTCTGCCCTCGAGTCGAGGCTCCTGACACAGGAGAATCATGGCCCTATTGTCAGCGTACAGGACCGGGGCAGAGCTAGGCCGCTCACCTAAGTCAGTGAGCAAGAAGGTTAGCCAGCGGAGCTCCTGTGCCGCCATGGCACCGGCGTAGATCTCAGCCTCACAGCTGGACTGGGCAACCGACGAGGAGCGGGTAGCTCTCCACGAGACAGCACCTGAGCCAAGGCTAAAGCAGTAGCCCTGGGAAGACCTGAGCGTCTCGGCGTCGTCTGCCCAAGAAGCGTCTGTGTGTCCAGTAAGGACCACTGGCCTGCGTCCGCCTAGCACTAACCCCATG